TTATTAATTAAATATATATATAATTAATTAAATTATGAATAAATTTTAATGAAAACTTGATTCTTGAAATTTAAAACCTCTATCATTAATTTTGAAATGGTGATACTTAAATACCTTATTTATGTATTGTTCACATGATTAATATTGATTGTTTGATTTTGATTTGAATTAAAATCAGATTTTAATTCGGACTAAACATGGACTTAATCTTTTGACGCGAAAAGTAAAACTTTTTTATGGGCTTTGTTGGCATATTGGTTGCTTACCTCTGTTCTTTCTCCAAATGTCACAACACTATGGACTCTCTCTCTCTCTTGTCGCCCTTGAGATCATTATTACAACATTTTTTATTTTACGTATTTATTTTCAACTATATATTCAAATAATAAAATATTTTACATGTAAATTAAAAAAAAAATTTACCAAATAATGACCATAAAAAAATGGCAAAATACTTTTTGCGAAAAATGTATTTTGAAATAGTGATTTTTTTGAAGGGTGTATACAATATACTTTCAAAATATGGATAAATTTTGAATTTAAATATAAGATTATTTTACAGAAAAATGTGTAGTTAAAAAAAATATATATATATTTTTTTTTGAAAAATAGAGACCACAGGCTATAACTTATTTATCAGGAATGAACTTATCACTTATCAATTATCAATTATATACCGTATTTTTAAGAAAGTCAAACTTAAAATTAGCATTAAAATAAGTCACACTTGCGCACTCTTTCTGAAAATTTCACACACTTTCTTCACTTCTTACAAGTCTCTCTCTCTCTCTATGCGAACTGCGAAGTGCATATATGAAAGTGTATATGCATAAATGTACGCCCAATTGTACTTGTAATTCTCAAACTCAGATCTGTTCTCTCGTATTTTCTTCTCCCTTTTGCCCTTTATTGTAACACAAAATATTGGATTTCAATTTTTCAACTTCTCTACGAAGATCATGATCTGAAATTTGTTCTATTACATATTACGCATTGATCTGAAACTTGATCACATCTTTTTTTGATTTCCTTTTACGAAAATAGTGAACTGTTTCTCTCCAGGGCTCTGCATTGATCAATTTTATCATGGGTTCTTCATATGTCAGTGCACGCTCTCTACTTGCTAACCTGTGAAAAAAGAATTTTGGTAAGTTCTTGTAGTAGAATTTGGTTATGTTTATTTTTCTTGGATTTTCTTCCTTGCAATCTTGAATTTGTTTGTCTTCGATTATGCTCTCTGTACGGAAATATAATGATCCATACTTTTGTGATTGTCCTGTTTCAGTTTTCTAATAGGACGTTTGACATTTTCTGAAAATTCTGAAGTATTCGCTGGGTCGTAGTGCGTATCTGTCTCTGTCTTGGCTTCCTAGGGTTTTGTTTCTTTAGTAGTCGGAAGTCGTCTTTGTTTCTTTCTGAATTAACCAATTGTCCTACATCAGTCAAATTTGCTTTTAAAGATTTTTTTTGTCATAATTGGTTATTTTTTCTTCTCAAACTTTTTCCCTCAATTGTATTTTGTTATGTTACTTTTCTGCATCCACGACTTTTTCAATTATTTTGCCATTGAGTTTTCTGCTTTAAAATTTCTCTCTGTGTGGCTCTGCATCAGTTTTTGAAATATGCGCCACCCCCCCCACCCCCCCCCGGTTTAATTGTTTCTTTTCTTGGAATAGGGCCTTCATTAACTGTTTTTAACAGAAATATGCTTCTGTTTTGAATTATTAACTATTTCTTTTTGTTTCTAGCACATCTTGTTATTGGAATGTTTTGATCTTGATTAACTGGCTAGTAGTATTAAATTTGATTCTTGATTTTTTTTTCTTTCTTGCTTTCAGAGTTATTGGATTTGGAGTATTACATTCAAAGATTTACTGTAGATTGGTCCTCTGCATTGACCTCAAAAATTCTCTTCTGCATTGCATAAGAAGGAAATGAGGGATGTTTTCTTGGTTGGGAAGAACAGCATCTTCATGTTTGCGACCTTTGGGCCGATATGCCCGTATGAACAAGGATGATGATGATTCTTTGGGAGGTGAGGACGATGCACGTCTCTGGTGCAAAGACCTTGAGAAGCATTCTCATGGGGAGTTCTCATTTGCAGTGGTCCAGGCAAATGAACTTCTCGAGGATCAGAGCCAGGTTGAGACCGGTCAGCATGCCACCTTTGTTGGTGTTTACGATGGCCATGGGGGCCCTGAGGCATCTAGATTCATCTGTGACCACCTCTTTAATAATCTGATCAGTGACGCATCTTTCCTTGCCCTTTTTGTTCCTTTTTATGTAGTTCTTATGTAAATATTTATTTCTATCCCCCCCAGAGAGAGTTTCTGACTATGTTTAATTTGAAATAAATGACAAAAAGCAATACATATTAATTGCATGTTCAGGGTAAATCCCCATAACTGGGGGGATTTTCTGAATTGTCCTGAATTGTTTTGCAGGCTGGGTTTGTATGTGAGGATTTTTTTTTTTTTTTTCAATTTAAAGATCCTTAAATTAGAATTTGATATCCATTCTTTTGGTAATGATATTAGGTTCCTCGTAATTGTAGGGATCTTAATTTATGAATTAAGGAAAAAGAAAGAAAATCCAACTTTATATGAACTTTATGGTTTTCATGATGTAGTTTTGTAAAATGATAAGCAAATATTAAGTTGATTATGGTGAATGTCTTTGCTGCACTTATCTTTTTGTGTGGTATGTTTTAGTGCTTTTTATTCTTTTGCTCTGCAGGCCAGTTAGATTGTTTCTTTATCGACTGAGCGAGCTCGAAAAAGTGGCATCATGGTTCTTTTCTTTGTTGTTACTTTTATTTTCTATTTTTTGGACATCAGGCAATGATAGATTTCACTTCATATACATGTCATTATGTAGATAAATTTGTCATTTGGTACTGTTCTAAATTTAAATAGCTTACACTTTTATGTGCTGCATTGGAGCTCAGTAAATAAACTAATGAAAGGTTCATAAATCAAAATTTCACTCATTTTGAATTAGAACAAGAACATCTGGCCGCTATAAATGGTTATCATTGAGTTCCTTGATGTCTATACTATCAATTTGATATTTCTCAATCTTCAGCTTATTGCCTTTTTTCTCTTTGTTTATTGTTTATAAGTAAACAATTGCTGGATTAATTTATTTTTTTTTATTTTTTTTTCATATCAGTTTGGACTTTTTAGTAAGAGTTATCCTACTCTTCATCATTTTTTTTGTTTATTGATGTTATTATATACTGATTTCATTTTTCCAAAGACAGTCTCTGAGTTTGGCTGATGCATGACATGGCACAATTTGTTTTTTCACAGGACTTGCTCGTGAAAATGGAACTATATCTGAGGATATTCTGAGGAACGCGTTTTCTGAAACTGAAGATGGTTTTCTAACTCTTGTCAGAAGAGCATATGAAATTAAGCCATTAATTGCAGCTATTGGGTCCTGTTGTCTAGTTGGAGTAATCTGGAAAGGTACACTATTTGTTGCAAATCTGGGTGATTCTCGGGCTGTACTGGGTTCTGTAAACAGATTAAATAAAATTGTGGCTGAGCAGCTGACCAAGGATCACAATGCCAGTTTAGAGGAGGTTAGAAGGGAGCTCAGGTCTTTGCATCCAGAAGATTCGCATATCGTAGTTATGAAGCAGGGGGTCTGGCGCATCAAAGGCATTATACAGGTTTACTACCAGTTAACCTTGAAAAGCTTTCAGTGCATTTTTGGCAAATACAATTGGGCTGGATTAGACAGTATAACAAGCAAGATATTAGCTTATTTTTGTTCTTTCCTACTGTTTAGTACTAACTACTCGTCCCCACTGAACATGCAATCAGTTTTCTACTTTCATGTATATGACAACTTCCATTTTCTTTATCAATTCAATTATTCACTCTAGAAGTTATTCATGAAGTATTATGTATTCTGTAGGTCCATTGGAAATTGGTCTCTAAGCCCAATAAGTGTGCTTTTTGCGCACTAAATACAACTGTCAAAAAAGTCATACATTCTGTGAGACAAAAAGGCTTCCTGGAACTTAATGATGACATAATTTTATGTTTGCTCATGAATTATATTAACTCAATTAAACTAAAGGCGTTGTAAAACTTATGTTTATGGTATGCATACACTGATTGGATCTACGAGTTCTGATCAAAATGTATGTCTATTCAGTAGAATTCAGAGTAACCTCTAGCTGCTACATCTGACCCTTTATTAATTAATTCTAATTCTGGATTTGGTTGATAGTCCAACTTAAATAGTCCATTCATCATATTGTGAATTTCAACCTTACAGAAGTACAAGAGTCAATGGGATGCGCTGTTCTTATTTAATGCTGCAGCCTGTCTTTACTTCTTTACTGTTATGTGCTGCATGCCGTAGTGTTCTCAATGGAGATGCTATTATCTTTGAGATAGGCTTGAATTCTGGTCACCCACACTCCCAAATGTTACAACTCTTCTGTTTTCTTTATGATTATTGCAAGATTAAGCCCATGTTTATTTCAGGTATCGAGATCCATAGGAGACGCCTATCTGAAAAGGCCAGAGTTTGCTCTTGATCCATCTTTTCCGCGATTTCACCTTCATGAACCTCTTCATCAACCTGTGTTGAGATCTGATCCATCTATATGCACAAGAGTTTTACAACCAAATGACAAGTTTCTTATTTTTGCATCTGATGGTCTTTGGGAATACTTGACAAATGAGGATGCTGTTGACATAGTTCATAATAATCCAAGAGTGGTGTGTAGGATTTTCTTATCTTTTAGTTTACGTATTATTTGTCCATATACACTTTCGTTAACATATTCTTTCGTGATTTTCTTCATATTTTTCCTCAAATATCAGGGCATAGCCAGAAGGCTTCTAATATCAGCCATAAACCAGGCCTGTAAGAAAAGACGTGTGACGTATAATGAGCTCAAGAAGTTTGATAAGGGGATGAGGAGACATATTCATGATGATATTTCTGTTGTTGTCATCTTCATAGACCATGAAATGTTCGAAAATAAGGCATCTGTACCTGACCTATCAGTAAGAGGATTTGTGGATACCATTGGGCCATCAAATTTTAATTTTCCTCATGTGAATCAAAGTGTCCTATCTGAAGGTTGCTCGTAATCTTGAATATGGAGAAGGCCAGCTGCAGCAAGTTTTGAAAATTGTTCCGTTGTCAAACTGAAAGTTTTGGAACTCTCGTAGTGTGTCCGAGCATGCTTTTTCACATCTTTCTTTCTCTTCTATGCTATTTTGAATCTGCCCGTTTAGGCTCATCTGAGACGCCCCAACTTGTACACAGCCAAGTAGTTTGATTTTTATTCTTTTCCTTCAGATTAATAAATTCGTTGGGATCGACAAATTTGAATACTGAAATCTTGCATAGATTCTCAAGACATACAATTCTTGCTGTTTCTACAGGATCTGTGTTTTTGGCTTGTCTAGTAATGTTTTTAGGACTTGCTCTTTTTACTTGTTTACCATCTCTAGAAGGAACCTAACTTGAGTATGCAGCTGATGTTAGGAATTAACTTTTTCACTAAACAATAATCACAAGGATAATCCATAGCTGGTAATAAATGATTGAAATGCTACCATTATTAGGGGTCGAATATTATGAAAATATAAAAGAGATTAGAGAAGCTGTTGGTGGTGTATCTACTACAAGTTTTCTTGGACGTCAAAATTAAATAGGCTACCAATTAGTTCAAATCCCAACAAAACTTTCAGCAAAGCAGAATATAAGTAAATGGTACTTTAGTAATTTCTGCCCCCTGAATAAAAAGATTCTCATTAAATGACAGTGATAAGTAGACAGTTAATCAAATAAATATTCAAGTACTGAAAAGGAAGAAGTCAGACGATCTCTTATTCCAACACTCAATTCATAGTAACATTTAAAATACTCCAACTATACTATAATTTGATATCAATGGAAAAACGAATATTGGGTACGATGATATTATTTTGTTGCAACAGTTCAAATCTTGAATGCTTTTTTGTTGCAACAGTTCAAATCTTGAATGCTAATATGCTATAGACCCATTCGAAAAAAAAAAAGTGAAAATACAAATGAGAAGCAGCAATTTCAGCAATCATAATGAAAAGCCTTCCTCAACGACCACTTTTCTTCATAGGTAGTTTTAGAAGCATTTTCTGTGGACAATCGAAGGTCCAGACTCATCGTACTCTGCTTTTGCTATCCACATCTGCATTCACAGAAACAAGAAAGATCTATCATCAAAAATTCTTGGAGTTCCTTAACAGATGCTCAATCTATTTATAATCGGATGACTAAAATGACAGCCCTCGCGGTCAGTGGCCTCAGCTTTCCAACAATCACAGCGAAACACGATGGATTCACAAGGTTGACCTTTAATAATTGTGATGAAAGCTAACCAAATAGATGCAATAGCCGAATTTTTATTCAGTTAGCCCTTGATATTAGAAAACGCTGTAATGCTAGAAGTTAAAACAGTGTAGGTGTTAAAGAAAATCCCAATAATACCTGCTGGAATGTGCTGAGAGAGGCTAAAATGGAACCTCCAATCCAGACACTGTACTTCCTCTCAGGTGGAGCCACCACCTTAATCTTCATGCTGCTTGGAGCTAATGCTGTAATCTCCTTGCTCATCCTATCAGCAATTCCCCCGAACATTGTCGAACCACCACTCAGGACAATGTTTCCATACAGATCCTTCCTAATATCTACGTCGCACTTCATGATAGAGTTATAAGTCGTTTCATGTATTCCAGCAGATTCCATACCAATCATTGATGGCTGGAAAAGTACTTCAGGGCAGCGAAATCGTTCTGCACCAATAGTGATCACCTGTCCATCGGGCAGTTCATAGTTCTTCTCCACAGATGAGCTGGTTTTTGCAGTTTCTAGCTCTTGTTCATAGTCAAGAGCAATGTAAGCTAGTTTCTCTTTTATATCTCTTACAATTTCACGCTCAGCGGATGTGGTGAAAGAGTAACCTCGCTCAGTCAGTATCTTCATGAGGGCATCAGTGAGATCACGCCCGGCTAGATCAAGACGCAAGATTGCATGGGGGAGTGCATAACCTTCATAGATGGGGACTGTATGGCTGACACCATCACCAGAGTCCAGAACAATTCCTGGCATCAAGACAAATATATTTTTGCCAATAATGATATAATTTAACATATTAGAGAAGCCATTTTTTGCTGAAGTTTAATGACAGGTGGTACAACTTATTTTTGTTATATCAATAATAAGTTTGGGCTTCAGAGGCTCCAAACCGACGGCATTTTCTAGTAGACAGAACACATTCAAGATCATTTAAGCTACAAGAACTCCAGAATATAGCCTAGGTCTCCATTTTGGTATATAGACTGCAGATATCAACACCTATCCTGTTTATGTCTTCTTCCTTTTTTCAATTAACAGGCAAACATAATTTGGTTTGTCAAGAGGAATTAGTATTCGGCATTCTTCTGTATACCAAAAAGTGAAAATTAATTTCAGCATATATTTCCGAAAATGTCATTTTCTTGAGAGGGGTTTATTTCTTAAGATTTAGTTTTAATAGTTTTTATATGCAATTGGCACACGACTTTTATCATTGTACAGTTAGTGGCCGTGCGTGCTTAGTAGGAGCGTCAAAAAAATATATACCCTTAGATCTTTAATATGCATTGATCAAATGAACAAATCAACATAGTTCTCCTTGAGAAAAAGATGAAAGCACTGGCACGTCAAGCATCAATGTATGGTGAATTAAGAGGGACTAGCATTTTTCTTACCAGTTGTACGACCACTGGCATAAAGCGAAAGAACGGCTTGAATGGCAACATACATAGCTGGAGTGTTGAAAGTCTCAAACATGATTTGAGTCATCTTTTCACGATTTGCCTTGGGGTTAAGAGGGGCTTCTGTCAAGAGAATAGGATGCTCTTCTGGAGCCACACGAAGTTCATTGTAGAAGGTATGATGCCAAATTTTCTCCATGTCATCCCAATTGCTGACAATTCCGTGCTCAATTGGATATTTTAGAGTCAAAATACCTCTTTTGGATTGAGCCTCATCACCGACGTAGGCATCTTTTTGGCCCATGCCAACCATGACACCAGTGTGACGTGGGCGGCCCACAATACTGGGGAAGACTGCCCTCGGAGCATCATCTCCAGCAAATCCAGCCTGACAATTATGAGATCTCATCATAAACTAGTAAACTACTAGATTCTAAAGTAAACTCTTAATTCACAAAGGCCTAGCAGTTGAAAAATCATCATTGGAAGTATTGGAATAATAAAAGTGTACAAGTTGTTGGATTTTAGGTGGATACCTTGACCATTCCTGTTCCATTATCACATACAAGAGGCTGAATATCCTCGGCTTCTGCCATCTCTTAATATGATCTGGAAAATAGAATGACTTTCAGCTAATATGAGGAGATACGATATTTGGCTTTCAGCTAATATGAGGAGATATGATATTTTATTCCCATGGACATAAAAATTTGCAATTGATGTGATGCCAAAAAAAAGATCAAAGCCACATGAACTTCATCTAGATTGACAGAAAATAATGTGATGGCATTGTTTTCATTTATTATTTGAAACACAAAATGCAATTTGGCATCAATTAAACATGATATCCAGAGTTAACAGTGCAAGATTCATCCAGAAAAGTAGGTGTAAAAAAGGTGCGCCAACTGATGCAAAATATATTCCATAGATAGCAATTCAAACAAGCATTCAGCTCCCTACAGAGAAAGGACATATGAACAGATCAACAGATCAAACATTTGGCAATCAGGACGAAATCATATTTCAATTGTTAAATATCATTTCCATTAATGATTCACTTGTAGGCCTTCATTTGCCAAGATTTCAATGCCACCAACAATATTTGCTTTCAATCAATTCATGGATATCTCAATTCTAGATTTATTATTTCGATGAAAAATTCCAAATTATAATAAATTCAAAAGAGATCCCAGATAATACATCCGCATAAATCATTAAAGTTTCACAATGAAACATGTATGGACTCCACTCCATTATGCAATATCCACCATATCACACGTTATGTTTTTGATAAATTTCGGTACTTTGAACATAACTCAGAATACCCACATGCAGTTCCAAGGATCTAGATTCAATAAGAGCATAAAAATAAAAAATAAAAAAATCGAAGTTTGAAGACAGGGATTACTCTAAGGCCTTTCTGAAAATGGGTTCATTTGCCAAGATTTCAATGCGACCAACAATATCAGAATTCAATCAATTCATGGATATCTCAGTTCTAGATTTTATTATTTCGATGAAAAATTCCAAATTATAATAAATTCAAAAGAGATCCCAGATAATGCGTCTGCATAACTCATTAAACTTTCACAATGAAACATAAATGGTCTCCAATCCATTATGCAATACCCACCAAATCACGCGTTGTGTTTTTGATAAATTTCCGTACTTTGATCATAATTCAGAATACGCACATGCAGTTCGAAGGATCTCGATTCATTAAGAGCATAACCAAAAAATCGAAGTTTGAAGACAGAAGATTACCTCTGAGGCCTTTATGAAAATGGGTCTCCCTTGTGGAGTTGCGTAGGAAGTGTGAGGTGCTGTCCTTCTCTTGTTTAAAAACGGGGAAATGAAACTCTGGCTTAAACGAACCTAAAATTCAGGTTTTGAAGACCTTGTTTGTTAGTGTGAGGTCCATGACAGCGAGAATCGATGGTGGATATAAGACCTGGCCGCTTTTGCCGAGATGTCCTTTTTGCCCTTTCAGGGTCAATTTTGGAATTTTCAACGTCCATATTAGTCCCTGTTTGTTTACCATTATTTTAAACTCTTTTTTTTCAAACTTATTTTCAATCACATTCTCACAATAACATATTTTTCTAACTCAAAATTTTTTTCTACTTTTTAATCACACATTCATAAAAAATTCGCTATTTCAAAACTCATTTTCTTTGAATAATGGTAGATAGACAAGGGCTTACTTTAAGCTTATCTAATTATTTTAATTTGATTTAGCGATCTTGCCCAAATGCATAGGTCGTTGCATCAATAGGGATGTAACAAATTTATGCAAGAAAATCATAGACGTAGTCAATTAGAATTATTTATGAGACGAGTTGAAATTTCATTTCAAAACAAGCTATAGTAATATTACGAGAATATCATTTTTTTTTTCATTATGACAAAAAGGTTAACAGACTTCGATATTCTTGTCACAACATTTTAAGATGGCATAGCGAATGATACATAAATTAGATAATCATTACAAATAAAACATTGCAATGTTGATAATGGTAACTGTTGACAAAAAATTAATAATAATGACTCCACAAATAAACTAATTATTATTTGTTAAATAACTAATTGACAGTGGAATACTACTGTATAAAGGGTGATTGTATTGACACCACAATATTTAGTTGTTGCACCACATTTTTATGCACTTAAGTTCTTCAATCTTTGTTCGTTGTAGCATTTGTATTCTTAACGTATTCTTATCTTCAATTTTCCATTAATTAGTACATCTTGTCCTTAATGATGATTTCCATCAAAATAATCCGTTTTCATACTTAGAAATTAGGGAAAATATTTTATTGCATTTTTATATTTTTTTTTATTTCTAAAAAATATGATGAGAAAGTAGTAAGCACATGTTTGGCTTCAAAACCTTATATTCAATCACATTTTTTCATAAAATAATTTTACACATAAATCAAAAAAATTCTTCTTTTTTGACCAAACATTCTCAAAAAAATCACTATTCTAAAATACAATTTCTTAACAAGATGCTCAAACAGGGGCTAAGTAGTTTTAATTAATGAAAAATCGAGGATAAAAATGTCATGAAAAAGTATTAGAGATACATATGCTATAATGAACAAAGATAAAAAAAAAATTATGTATAATTAAAATATGATGCATGAAATAAAAATTATGGTGTAAATATAATTATATGATATAAATAAGGGGACAGTTGTCAAAAATAACCTTTTGGGGATATATTAGTCCTATTCTCCTAGGAAAGATGTCCATGTCCCAGCAAAAATGATTATTTATTACTTTTTCAGAACCTTTTTCTCCAGATTAGTGGTTGACACGTGGGAATGACAAATTATGGTACAACACCAACTCAGCATACCGTCCGAGTATCGTGGGTGGGCTTATTTCTTATAAACATAAGGGAAATTATATTTGTACCGGGGTTGACAACCCTCCTCACCGACCCCTCACAATGAGGTGGGACAAATTATGGTACAACACCAACTCAGCATACCGTCCGAGTATCGTGGGTGGGCTTATTTCTTATAAACATAAGGGAAATTATATCTGTACCGGGGTTGACAACCCTCCTCACCGACCCCTCACAATGAGGTGGGACAAATTATGGTACAACACCAACTCAGCATACCGTCCGAGTATCGTGGGTGGGCTTATTTCTTATAAACATAAGGGAAATTATATCTGTACCGGGGTTGACAACCCTCCTCACCGACCCCTCACAATGAGGTGGGACAAATTATGGTACAACACCAACTCAGCATACCGTCCGAGTATCGTGGGTGGGCTTATTTCTTATAAACATAAGGGAAATTATATCTGTACCGGGGTTGACAACCCTCCTCACCGACCCCTCACAATGAGGTGGGACAAATTATGGTACAACACCAACTCAGCATACCGTCCGAGTATCGTGGGTGGGCTTATTTCTTATAAACATAAGGGAAATTATATCTGTACCGGGGTTGACAACCCTCCTCACCGACCCCTCACAATGAGGTGGGACAAATTATGGTACAACACCAACTCAGCATACCGTCCGAGTATCGTGGGTGGGCTTATTTCTTATAAACATAAGGGAAATTATATCTGTACCGGGGTTGACAACCCTCCTCACCGACCCCTCACAATGAGGTGGGACAAATTATGGTACAACACCAACTCAGCATACCGTCCGAGTATCGTGGGTGGGCTTATTTCTTATAAACATAAGGGAAATTATATCTGTACCGGGGGGTTGTCAACCCCCTGATACAGATATAATTTCCCGCCCCCCACCATTGTGAGGGGCCAGTGAGGCGGGTTGTCCACCCCCCGGTAATTGTAGCATCCCACTAAATAAAAAAGCATCTTCAATAAGAGAAGTGTTTGGTGTACACTAGTGTGGCAATGGGATGGGTTTGGAGCGGGGCACCCTCACCCCTCCCCGCCCAGCGCCCCACCCCGCCTTAGACGGGGC